GGATAAGCGAGGATTGTGTTGCACACACACCTGGAAGTTGGTCTGAACAGCTGCAATGTTGCAGGCAGCTACTTTAAAGTGGACGCTGTGCATCTCCATGAAATATTTCAATTTTAAAAATTTAGATAAATATAAGAAAACAGTTTGAAATTGGTTATTTGAAATTTCAATGAATGTGTATATAAATAAACTCATAAGCCAAAATAAGTCTAAAAATATGAAGTATTCAAGGAAATTTGTTCAAATTCAAAAGTTTTAATCATTTGTAATGACAACCCCAATATTCTAATCAGATTGCTCTACGGAGTTGGTCATTGTTCAAATTATATTTAATTTACTAAAAATCCCAAACATTGCAAAGATAAACATTAATAATTTTAATTGACGCACATTAAACTGAAATTACCTAAAAAAAAACTAAAAAATAACATTAATTTGCAAAAACAAAAAAGACCAAAAATGAAAGCCGACTCAGAGAAAAAACGAAAACTGAAAAGCAGAATCTAAAAACTGCCGAGTGGCAATTAAGTAAACAAAAAATACTTCCATGCCCCACCCCGTGCCGCTCCTGCTCCTGCTACCGCTGCCGCTGCCGTTGCCGCTGCCGCTGCCGCTTCTGCTCTTCAGCCGGTACACGCACTAATTACCAAAGCATTTTTCATTTCTCATTTTTACATGACTATTACGAATACCACTGAGTATTTGTTTTCAGTAGATTCCTCTTGTTGTTGTTGGTGTTGCTTTCATGTTTTCCACAATTAGATTTACGAACAAATGAAATTACCGCGCTTTCGTTTTAATTGTTGGCTGCTTATTGGGTAGCTCGGGTAGTTCGGGTAGTTCGACATAATCGACAGTTGGTAACTGAACCCACACCCGCACCGGCACCGGCTCCCTCGGCGAGCTTGGCTTGCTTATCGTTAGCTGGGAATCAGTGGCGATTATGCCTTGCATAAACCAGTTAATAACGCGCTTCCGCTTAAGTCAAATTTGGGTGCCCACGAAAATTGAGTGAAAATGCAGTTGTCGCTGGAAAATGTCGCAAATGAAAGCAAGACAAATCGTCGTATCAAATTACCCAAATTGTGGGCGGGTCGACGTCAAGGAAATGCGGTTAGCTATTACCATACCCCTCGGCTCTGCATAGTCACCCTGCATACCTGTTACCTACTGCCTATCCGCTCCACCCCCTCTGCGCAAGGTGATTATGTCACACGCCTGCCCCATTTTGTGGCAAACGCAGCCATTTGTAATTGAATTAATGTTGGCTGTTTTTCTCGGTCTCGGCTCTGGGCTTATAGTATTTGGCGGCCAACTATTTATGGCCCAAATGACAGGCGATGTCGCCTTATCGCTGGAATTTGATCGGGCGACTCCAGTAACCCTAACTAATCGCACGTAATTAAATATAATTTGGTATCGTTTACAGTTACGTTGTTTTTTTCGTGTTTGCCCAATACGCAATGAGTGCTAGGAGTGTGTGAGGAGGGATGATGGGTGGGGGGACAGGGATGGGGGTGATGGGACCAGGAGTTAGTTACCATACTATGTAGGCCACGTTGAGATTATGCCAACGCATCGTTCACTCGCTTAATTGACTTACCCCAACCCATCAAAAGCAACACAATGGCAAACACCTGAGGCTAAGAAATTTTTAAATTTTCAGTGTGAAAGTTAATAATTTCTAAGAGAATCGTATAAAGAAGTCATTTTAAATATGAGATAGAAAAGTACTTGAGAACAAGTCATTGGGCAAATCTGTAAGAAGAGTCTGGTATATTTTATAATGAAATTATTCTGTTGCATATTTTAAACAGAACTTGTACTTGACTTAAAAGCGTGCTTCAAAATGTAATCTAGAACCCAAACTTTTCCATTCCAAAATTTACACCCATCGCTATATGTGATGTTTCAAGGGTAACTTGAATTGGAAAATATTGCAACTTACAAGCCTTGACCCTTATTCCCATGAATCTAAAATACGAGAAACTCTTCTTAGTGACCATGATCTTCATTTATATCCTACAAGCCAGAATATACAAATCTAATGCTGCATTTGCTGGTAATAAAGAGGATGCCTGTGGACAGGCGATAAGGTGAATTGAAGTGGAGTGGTTGCACATAACTGCAATTTGTTTAGCCATCGGCCAGACCGAGAACCGTTTCTCAATTCTCAACTGGCACTTAATGCGCGAGGCGCTGAGGAAAGCTGAGGAATGGAAAAGGAAAACGCGCCACAGAAATAAAATTATTTAATTGCGCAATTAAGTGCACATTTGTAACGTTTTGCGCGACATCTGTCCCAGACCAAAGAAAACAGGAGAGACCAGAGAACAGAGACCAGGGAGTAGAGACCCAGAGGCAGAGACAGCGACAGCGACAGAGTCCGAGACCGAGACCGGAAATTCAATTGTTGAGATAATAATTACATTAGGACGTGCGCGCATGCGCGACTCTGACACAAACTTGGACTCGAATTGAGCATATGGACTGACCAGGGACCAGGGACCAGGGACCTGGCACCAGAGAGCCTACTTGGCTACTACGAATACTCGAAAACGGAGTGCACACCTTGCGCGACGAGCTGATTGACACGGCCACATGGGGACGTGAAAGCCGTACCGCTACACAGTCAGATAGCGTCCATACACTTGCAAAAATATATATACCATACAATTTCATTCTTAGACAGATATGGTATCCTAAACAAAACATTTGCCTTTAATCCAGCAAACAAATATATTATTATACATCATTTGCAAAAATGCATTCTATTTTCAACAAACAATTTGGGTCAACCTTTATAATTTTTCTCAAATTCCAATATATTATTCGTAGAAATATTATATACTCTTTTTAGAAAGTAAATTGTATATATATATAAACATGATTGAATCAACAATTTTGTGATGTATAAATGATAACATTGATTTCTAGAATGTGAAAACCCTGCATCCTAGAAATTCACTTACTGAAAAATAAGTGAAGCTGCTTTTTGGCAACTGAAGCTTACCGATTTTCTCCTGCACTGCCATTCGATACACTTTTTCTACGAGTGCAGACGACCTGCTGTACATTGAACCCATGTCCGAACCGGGCATCGAGCGCGAACCGAGATCCGAACCCGCCAAATGGTCGGCTGGTCTTTTGTTTGCATTTCGCCTGTAAATGAAGCGTGAAATTGGCTTAAAGTGCAGCGAGTGCAGCGTCGCATTGTTTACTTCTTGTTATGGGGCCCGTGACAATGGTATTATATACCTATAATGTCCATATAATGGCAACACCAAACGATTTGTATGCAATTGCCATTAACACTTTATTTATTGCCTGGCAATACGCTTGGCAGAGAAGAGCTGAAACTGAAGCTGGACCTAAATGGATCTGAGCGCTTGCTGCTCTGGGTTGAGGTTTAATGAAGTAGTTAAGTTGCCATGGAATGGCTACAAATAGGCAGCAGCAAAATAATCAGGCAGATAATGTAATTGCTATCAGTTATATGTACATATTTAATAGAACGCTTCTATATATAGAACTTGTACTTATTAGCTCTGAAAGTGAATTGAAAATAGATCTAAAACGTAGTTTAGACGCAAGTCTCAAAGTATTCAGAAGCTCAGAAAGCAAGACTTTGCCAAATAAAAATATAATGAAATGTCAAGTCAGGCGTAGCACGAAAATAATGAAAACATGTAAATCAAGAACCCAGCAAATATTTATAATATTATTATGGGCAAAAGAAACTTTAATAAATCATCAGAAATTAAAACATTAATCTTAATGAAAAATTAATTCAAGTTCAATTTTAATTAAGTCATTATGTTTTTCGAATTTAATACGACACACATGTCTCAAATACAGAATTAAGTAATTTAAAACTTTCAAAAATAATATATTCATTGGGGGGAAGAAGAAACATCACCTCTATAATCATAACGATTATTTATAATACCCGCTTAGTGTGTCTTAATGTACTTAACTCTCTTTTTCCATTCCTACCCACCAATCTCTCTATCTCTCTCTCTCTCTCTCTCTCTCTCTCTATCTTTCTCACTCTCTGTCTGTCTTACTCACTCTCTGTCTGTCATTCTCTATCAATATCGAGCAATTAAGACCCTGACTAGCAGTTGTACTCAATAAACCAAGAAAGTCATTTACGAGGCCCTTAACACTATCCAAACAACAACACTACAACAACAATAATAACAGCAAGTCTCTGCATATGCGTGATAGCTAAATTATTTAATTTATGAGCCGCAACGACAAAGCAAATGGAGAAAAACAGAAATTGTATCTATGTGTGTATGGAAAAACCAATGCGAAAGGCAAACAAAAGACTGGGAAATAAATTTCCATTTTGCTAATCAAATTTATTGCACTTTGTGCGAGGCTTATTCAATTACGTGCCACTCCACACACTCAAACACACATACACACACACACACACACACACAAGTCAAGAAACAAAGACAGAGCAAGAGAGAGTGACAGAGAGAGAGAGTATGTGAGAGAGGGTGAGTGAGCGCTTTACAAGCTTTTTACAGAACCGTCGGCCGGTTAGCCGCCATTATTTGAGCGCTTTGTGAGCGCCAGCTGCTCTCATAGGTCAATGCTCATTGGCAGCGCCAAATGTGATGCGCTCCCTCTCGCTCGCACTACATCATCGAAGCAGCTAGAGAGAGAGAGAGAAGGGCGGAGCACTGAAGCTGAATGCGAAGCAGAGCTGCTCACCTGCCCGGCATAAGTAAACACCTGCGGCCGACGACGACGACGATCGTTCATTCGATCGCGCTCGTTACGATCGCATCGCGCTCTCTCGCTTCAGCACATGGTAAGCGACAGTGTGGTGGCAGCTTCTCCATAAACATCAAACACGCAACAACAACAACAACAACCGGTTGTTGGCCTGGCGTCTGAGCCCACCTGAGTTTTTACCGGCCTGCTCTTTGCGTAGTTCGCTTGCGGCATTGACGGAGCCCGGTCATCAACGCCGTCGTCGCGCTCAAAACCGAGTATATTTACTAAAATTAACTGTGTGTGTGTGTGTGCCTAAAAGTGCTAAAACTATAGCCAACAAATATATGGGATTTAAAAGCCCGATTATCTTAACAATCAATAGAAAAGTTATTGGAGTGCTTCGTAGCTGTTGAGTTGACTTGACGACAATTGTTTCAGGGCCGTGTGTGTGCAAAGACCGTCGGCAAGTGTTATATGAAAAGCTCAGTTCCTAAATATATACAATAAAAAATAAAAACTATAATTAACATATTCGTGTGCAGATCACAGCACAATCACAGCTTACCCGTTTTGCAGATCCTGTTTATACACGAAGAAGAAGGTAAGTTCTTAGCTTAAGTAAATCAAAACATAGTAGTCGTAGTCAAAGGAGTAGAAATCATAAAATAACATCCAGTTTATAAATATTCCATAACATATTTTTAAAAATATTATTCTATACATATTTTCTGTAGTTTCATCCAAAAAAAAACTTACTTTTTGGGTAGTTTAAAAATGCCTCATGTTAGAAAATTCTAAAATACACTTAAATTAAAGCATTCAACGAAAAGTATTCTAACACAAATATAAATATCTATTACTAAATACTTATTTTTAAGAGCATTTATTATAATTAACAAACTTTTATATTAATGTATATCTGGGGGCTTTTTTGACCAAAAAAAGATCTTCAACTGTATAAGTTCTTTTCAACAGATAAAATATTAAATTCAACCTTACCTCATATCAAAATGGTTTTAAACACCACATCGTTATCACTGTCATCTCAAAAACTTAACATTTCAGAACCCAATTGGCCTTATTTCGAAATGAAAATATCATTATCAGTGGTAGACTTACTAATATGTAATCTCTTAACCATCTCAAAATCATTGCCATTTATACAAACAGTGTACTCGCCCAGTTCTCCCATTATTCTCTCTGATACGATCAGTCGTTGAATTTTTGTCTTGAAAATGACCTACTTTGTGTAACGATCGGATAATATTACCAATTTCACAAGTCGAATAATCGATAATCAAAATTTGACTAAGGAAACGAAAATTAAATATCATTAGATTTGATTAATTCACTTGGACATATCGTATCGCGTTGTACGAGTACGCCTCACCTCTTCTAGCAATCGTCAAATATGTGATTACTTATTATTCTTTGAGCTTTGTTATTGTTTTTTTGATTAACTATAGGTACTTATTTATAGGGTATGCCACATGCTGATAGGTCGATAGGCTTATCGCTGATTGGCTTTAATTAAACACCATTAAGGAGTACAAAAATTGTCAGCGCCTGAGTCGATGGTAAATAAATCACGTTTTGTCATTGTGATGTTTTCAAAATGTTTGCTAATCAAAGCAAATGAAATTTCCACTCGTACACACAAAATAAATGAAATTAACTGGCCCCAGCTATCTAAACGAGATAATCATGTCAAAAGCTAGAATAGACTTGGCGATATGCTTGGGTCAGTCGAGCAATAAGACTACAAATACAAAGACAGTTAGATAAGTCAAATCATATCAACGTCACGTCATTGCGGGTTCCGTTCCGTTCCGTTTCTGTCTGTCTGTCGGTCTGTTGGGGAGAGCAAGGTTTCCTTTACCCGATAATCGATAATTTTGCTCACTGATTTAATTAATAATAATGCGGCATGTGACTGGCTTGTTACTAACTATTTCGTTTAGCTGTGACGCAAATAGTCACCTTTATCTATGAGGTAGCATCTGCTTGAGATAATGAAAAGATCTTCACTTCTGATAAGATGGTTGTTTCTTTCCTTCTTTATTTTTAGGTTTCTTTTTTTTTGTTTTTTGAAGAGGAAAATTAAAATATGTTTGCAATTGGGGGCACAATTTGCAGCGCAATTCAATTAGGCCGTCACACAATTAAAACTTGTCCACAGATAGCGTCTCAGTTGCAGTATCGTATCTACCAGATACAATGGCAGTTATCTATCTGACTTGGTACTGGGTACTTTTCTGATATCGATACCGCTCGTACCTTGTACAACTGACATTTCCCAATTAGAGTTGTTCATTTTGTCATGGCGCTACCTGGGAGGCGTTGACAATAACTATACTATATAACATATATATATCTATATATATATACATACCTATAGCAAAGCTACACCCACGCCCATCTCCTGATAAGAGATGGCGCCAAGACCAAACCCTGCTCTCAGCTCACAGTTCATTGAGAGCTGTGCATACAGATGCTTCATTAATTCAATTCGGACCTTGGCTGGTCCGAACACACAGAGAGAAAAGATTCAAGTAGTCCGTTAGCCTATAATAAAATTTCTTTAAATTCTTTCTATAATCCTATTTCAAGATCGATTTAAGATTGAATACATTTTATATATTGTTATTAATAGTGTGGCTTATACGATCATAAAATTTAATTTCCTGGGATTTGTTGCAGATCTTTCTCTGCTAAGTAAATCTTTCGTATATCAAGTGGAATTGCGAATACTTGATTCGTGTTGGATTTTAATACGACATTTTTCTCGCTGTGTACACAAATGGAACATGCAAACATGAAATATCAACCTCAGACACGTCCCCAAATTGCCTCCGTCTCTTATCAAAACGTACAAGACAATGACAAAAGGGCAGAGACACGGATGCTACACAGCCTCAGCGTCAGTCACAGTCTCAGCCTCAGTCTTGGCCACACTAAACTTGGCCAACAAAGCAGAAATCCAGCGCCAAGCGTCGAACAACAGTTGTTCGACTACAGCTTCACGCCACTTTTCCGCCCCGTCTCCCTCTGCTCCCCCTGTTCCATGGCTCCCTCAGCGTTTTTAACATGCATTTTATGAGTAATTGGCCTCGCATCATCCACATCAACAGCTTGGCAGCACAGAGTTAGCTACCCGAAACGTCTCTGGACCTGAGTCACTACTTTTAAACCTCGACGACGATCATGATGACGACGAAGACTACCTTTGGCTACCGTCAAGAACTCTGCCATTAGGGTGGCCAGGGCGCAAAAAAGGAAAGAATGAAAAAATAAAAAGAAAACTGTTTGTGCAACAACGAAACGCAGATACGCTTGCTCAACTAATGCAGAATGTATTTCCATAGACGATAAATGCTCTACTCTTGAGCTTTGCCAGATATTAACAAGCGATACATCTTTTTTAGATTAAAATAGAGATATCAAATAAATACTCTGACCTAGGTCGAAAAATGGAGTAGAATTTTTTAAGTAGTAAACACAATTTATATGTTTTAGTGAAGTCTGTTCTGTAAAAATATAATATTTTTAAAATAGAATGAAAAGAGTAAATATATATTCATTACGTAAAGTCTAACAAGTGACTTCTATGCTACAGAAAAAGAAGTCACAGTTCGTTGTGTTTGTCGCTGATAGGCAGTAAATTGAATTAAGATTGCCTCATCAACAAATGAGGCTGCTGAGACTTCGACACAGGATATGAATAAACTAATTATAATTTGGAGTTTGTGTGTGTGTGTTTGAGAGAGTGTGTGCATTAGAGGCCCATAATGTACCATTGCTGTTGTTGCTGCTGCCGGCGTCTGGGGCTTAAGAAGAATGCTGCCTTATCGCACCTGGCGCGTCCAAAGCCGGCGCCAAGCAGCAGCAGCCGCAACAGCTCAGGTGCAGTCTCAGACTTGAGTCTTTAGTTTTTTAGTTTTCGAGTTTTGAGTCGACAGTCTTTTGCAGCCTTCTCGCTATCATTTTTATGTTTTTTGGGTGACTCACGAAATTGTCTGCGCTTATACAAAATTAATAATTGCCTTTATCAACTGACCGCATGTAAAACTACAAAAGCAGGTGGGTTCAGTCTCTGTCTCTCTTGCTCTGTCTGGCTAATCCATCAATCCATCATTTGTGGGTGGGGGACCACACACACTAACCCTCGACACATTATCATTATGATGGGCATTGAGCTTTTTGGACACAGGCGCCATCCAAAAAGTTTGCCATTATCGAGGCTTTGTGGGACGAGTGGGGAGTGGGGAGGGAGGGCAGTGGGGATCATTACAATGCTGATCATCAAGTGTGACTAAAGTGGTTTAGCCTAATGTAAACCCATAAATAAGCATAAGGCAAGATACCAAAAACCCAAGTGGACCAGGCCAAGACGCATTAACAAAATGCCAGAAATGAGCTTCTGTTTTCTGCGTGGCTCTACCTGTAAACTGATCGAGTACTGCTCGACTGCTCGACTTCTCGACTGTTGGATGGCTCGACGGACTGGGGCCGTGGCCGGCCATTTAATGAAATATGCGACGTCCCAGTTGCAGTCCTCTACAGCAGCGCGAACACAAAAGTGCACCCATAAAAACGACACCAAGCGACATGGTGCAGCACAGCAGGCAAAGGTGGCAAGCACGGAGGAAGACATGAGAGAGGGAGGAAGAGAACGAAGGTAGTCAACGTAGGGAGAACAGAGCAAAACATTGATGGTTATCGACATCATGACAGACGTGAGAGGTGTGTGTGTGTGCTGTTTTTTTTTTGTTGTTGAAGAGACTCTTTATTACTACGCTTATGCTTTCTCAATTTACAATATCATTTAAAGCATTTGGATCAAAATAAAAAATCACAAAGAGCTTATCAAATTTAACAGAATATTAAATCGAATACTTACCAAACTTGTCTATGCATAAATTTTAAACAATAATTGATTTGAAACGGAAAAACAATCACTTAACAAGAACGTATATGGTACACGTTATTTTAATGAATTAATTTCTTCATTTGTGCACTTGCTGCTGGGCTAAAGCCAAAAATGTAAATCCAAAAACCCACACGCAGCTCTCACAATGTTGGGTTGGCAAACTGCAAAGAGTTGCTCTTAAATAATTTCCAGACACTAATGGAGCTTATCTCTAAACGAAACAAGCAACCGCAAACAAGTCTGGCCAGCAAGCAGGCAGAGCTCGAGAAGAAGACTGACTGACTGAATGACTGAATGACTGACTGACTGACTGACTGAGTGAGTGACTGCCTGACAGACTGAGTGACTGGGCACTGGGCACTGAAGTCTGCAGAATGTAGACTGGCGCTTGCCTTGATTAGCATGTGAGCCCTAAGCAATGCAGTTCAGTTGCCACACTGTGTCAAACAGTTAGGCACGACGTATAGTTTATAAGTACATACCTCGTCACAACACCCGCAATACCCGCACCCCTCTCGTAGCTGGATTTTGTAGTTGGCCAATTGTCCATAGAAGGCAACATCGCACTATCTGCTATTGGGCAGAACAAACGTAGCGCTAACTTGATTAGCTCTGGTCATGGCTCGTAAATAAAGCCATGAAAGCCAAATTGCAATCTCTGCAGCAAGAACAACAGCAACAACAACAACAAGAACAACAGACTGTGTGGAAACGTCAACAGTTGACAGTTTGACTGAAAAGTTTTTTAATTACCGCCGCTAACAAAACGTCAATCCGTCAAAGGCGACTTTGATGTTGTATGATCAACTCTTCGACTACTCTTTCTTATACTCTTTCCTTTACCCCTCTCTCTCTCTCTGTGTCTGTGTATCTCACTCTCCCCGTCTGCCTGCATTGCAATAATAAAGTCGTAACGCGGATACAATTATAACAAGGCGGCCCGACAACAAAGCCAAACTGCAAACATTCCCCACATAACTGCGAGCACTCTCAAGAGTCTCTACTGTACTGTGGCACTGCATATACACAACGCATTCGCATACAATGAATTAATCAGTGCAATTTTATGATCTTGATGTTGTGAGATTAGACAGATTGGTTAGATTGGTTAGACGGAAGGTATTTCAACTGTCGACATTATTGCAATTCGTACAACTAATTTAATAATTTGCGGTCGAGTTTTACACAAATTAAGTTTGTCAGCTGTCAGCGCTCGGAATTTGTTAACAACATTGAAAACTGACAGCGTGAATCATAATAAAAGTTATTAATGATGAGAAATGAGTTATGAACTGACTGCCTGCAAGTAAAAAACTACATGATTTTAAGAGAATAACAACGGAGCACGAATGCCCTTGCAAAACTAACAACAAGTTAAAGTAAGAAATGGGCCTTCAGGTTGTTTAAAATTTAACTTTGGATTTGAACAACAAATTTAAAAAGTGTATTTCATCTAATCCTAAATAATTAAAAATTATGTTGGTAGATTAGTTACAAAATTAAATAAGCTTTATTACATTAAGAATAAATACCGTTTGAGTTGACAAACGCAACAACAAAGTTAAAATACCCTTTTCACTTACACCTCTATAGCACCAATGACATGGTAGCAATGTTTCATCATGATCATTGTCTCCTTTTGCTGCTTGCTGTTGTTGTTGATAATAATGATGATGTTGTTGTTGCCTGCACCGGTTGCAACTTCATTCGTCGCAAGAATGCAACTAAATCAATCAGAGGCACACTAATTTGCCATTTAACAAGGTATTTGGACAATTTTGATATATGTATTCAGTCGAGCCGAGGCGAAATGTCAACGGTAGCATCAGCGACAACGCCAACTTAGGGACTGAAGCCATCAATCAAGCAGCTTTGCAGCATTGCAGCTACCGGCCAAGTTTTTAGCCAGGCCTGAACGGTAGGGCAGCAAAGCATTAAGACGAGAAAAAAAGGGACTGAAGCTGAACTGTTTGGGGAATGCATTTGTGACGTTTACATTTTGGAGCTAACCATTTACTTAATTGTCATTAAAGCGCATTGTATATTAATTAGCAAAACATGGAATTAACAAAACGTCGAAATTACAAATCGAAAAACCGAAACTGGAAACTTATTGACAGCAGTTCCCAACTGCCACCTGATATCGAGTATTCAGTTTTGATCGAATCGAAGACCGGAGAGCAAGCTGAGTAGTCAATTCTGGTTGCGGTTACTCTGGCAGCCCATCGATGATGATGAAAATGAAGTTGCCGCCCAATTTAATTAAAATTCCAAACGATCTGCACATGCAGCGAGCACCGAGCACCAAGAAGCAAAAATAAATGCAGCTTGTGCAAACGTGTTGATGAAAGATCAGCTGAGATGGACGTCGACGTGTTTGTCTGCTGTTGTCTGGTGTTGCCCGTCTCTCTAGCCAAAGTGATGCCATCGATTTGCATTGAAAACGCTGCAGTTGCAACTGCAGCTACACAGACTTACAACCAAAGGCTGTCATAAAGCACGCGGCCAGACCGCAACCACCAATAGCACTAAACAACAGGGTATTGGTGAACAGCTTTGCACAAAAATACTAGAAGGAGACACTAGTACTTAGTAGCTAAATGCCGACAAATGAATTATAACGAGCATTTTGACTAAAAATTGTGTTTCCATATTTCAAAGCAGAATTTGTATAGATAATAACATAATCCAACAATGCAATGCTTTTAAATTCTTCTCAGTTTTTACGAAGTCAATTTAGAACCCAAATATTGTTGTCTTATCTTACTATTATCCAATATATTATATATATTAGATATATTTTTAGCAATATTGTTGATGATTAATGATTTAATTGCTCTCCATAAGTACAATATTCATAATGCATTGTATTGGAAATTAATATCTAAATAGATTAGGCACAATTATAGTAAACAAGATTCTCTGCTCAGAATTGATTACAAGTCAGTTAGCCACGAAATTATATAATAAATAAAGTGTTGATTCCATTGTGTTGGCTAGTGTATTTTAACTGACAGCAAAGCGCAACCGCAGCTAACCTCAGTGCGAGCGTTGGGGCGCCTTCACGGCTATTGTAAATTATAGAAATTGGCGTAATAAAGTGTACGATAATTGCATGTTTAGTATTGATTGAATTACGAGCTTCTAATGCGAGACTAATCTGTGTACCTCTCTCTCTCTCTCTCTCTCTCTCTGTCATACACAGTTGGTAATTTTCCCGAGTCGCTGCCTCTTGGATTATGGGCATATCGGAGGAGGTCAAGCTGGAAGAACTACCGCAAGAAGCCAAGTTAGCACACCCGGATGCCGTTGCCGAACGTGGTGTGGCATCTGCCTCGGTCTCAGCTTCTGGTGCGGTGCCCAGCGGCGCCAGCGGCGGCACCAACAGCCCCATCTCGGATCCCAACAGTGACTGCGAGGTGGATGACTATGCGCCCAAGCGCAAACAGCGACGCTATCGCACCACCTTCACCAGCTTTCAGCTGGAGGAACTGGAAAAGGCCTTCTCGCGCACCCATTACCCCGACGTATTTACGAGGTGAGTGTGAACAAAACAATAATAATATAAACGCAAACGAATTTCAACGTCATTTGCATATATCGATTCAAATAGAAGGCAGCTAAAACTAAGTTTATGCTTGGATTTTATATGCGGCATATGCTAAATCAGAATATGATATGATATGATATGACCCCCCTGTGAGTGGAGTTGTTTTCTCAACTATTTGGAGCAGCATGATCATTTGATTTGGTTTCAAATTACGCTCAATAGTTGTGGGTTTCTGAATACCCCAGGGGTAATTCAAGCAAATTCAATTAAAATGCAGCAAAGATATAAAAAACTGCAAATAATAATTGCCATAAATTAGAAAACCAGCCACAAGCCGATAGATAGACAAACTGACCGACCAAAACTGACGTCAAGCACTCGTTAATTGGATTTACTCGAAAAAAAGAAAACATATTTATATGAGTAAAAACATCAATTAAAGCAACTTTTTGTTAGTGCTTGCAATGTTATCATTTTATTGGTGCAACTAGTTTATGTAAATGCTTAGCAATTAATTAAGCAAATAAATCACAGCAACTTCATTGACACCTGTCCTGATTGATCGACATTAAAAGAATTACAAAAGTAAGACTGGCAATGAAGACAGGAAATTGACTATGGCTCGTTAGAAAGGTGTAAAATGAATAACAGAGACTTTGAAAAATTATTAAAAATATGCAAAGCAAATAATTGTATATATTAGTTAATTGATCATCAATAAAACGGAATCCAGTTAGTTCAGTTCATGAATACCAATTTCTACATTCGTTCGTTGATCTGCTATATGTATTCAAGTAAAGCACTTGTCATATTAATTATAAATATATAACAGATTAATTGATCATCAATCAAATAGATTCTGGTTAGCAAACTTTAATTAAAACCAATTAGTTTCTTACAACAATGTAAAACGATCTAATTAAATTTTTATAATATACCTAATTCAATTGGGTCATAAATAAATATAATACTAAATATGAGGCAAGAAAAAAAGATTACAATATGCAAAGTTCTCTACAATCAGGCCGGTTCTAACGCAGTTCATCATTCAAAGCGAGATTTATTGTTTTCCTATATAGAGTACGAGTTTTTGTTACAACCTCTGCTTAACCAAGTGTAACTCATGTTTTGATCTTTCCTTTTTTATCTGTTTTGCAGAGAAGAGCTGGCGATGAAGATTGGATTAACTGAGGCGCGGATACAGGTAAAAAGAAACACACAGCCCAGCACCCTAGTCGAGTAACTAATATTGAGGTTTTGCGATTCGATTCGCGTGCTTAACAATGTTGAAAATTGAAAAATAATGGAGCATGTCGTCCCTAATGAAAACGCTTCAAGACCAGTGCAGACACAGAAGCCAAGATCAAATCTAGCTAACCAATTTTTTAGTTGGTTTGCTTTGTGATCTGATTTTTAATTACCGCTCATGCTAAACAACATTATTTGTTTACATACAATTCTAGCGGTAATTGCCAGAGTAGGCCCCCAAAAGGGACTCAGACTCAGAGTCCGACTCGGACTTGGACTTGGCTGCAATCAGCAACCGTTTGCGACCCGACTTCAGATTGTTATGTTAAAAACTAATTAAATGGGCGTTTTCAATAGTCACGCCCATTAATTGGTTGCTGGTGCTCCTGCTTCTACTGCACACACAGGATACAGTAGCCTGCATTAAACACATAACTCAACTCAGCCTCTCATCTCCCCCTCTCTTTCATTCTCTCTCTCTCTTCCTGTCTTCCTGTGCAGGTCTGGTTCCAGAATCGACGCGCCAAGTGGCGCAAGCAGGAGAAGGTTGGACCCCAGTCACATCCATACAATCCGTATCTGCCCAGCGGCGCCGCCAGCATGCAAACAGTGGTGGGTGCCGCCCTACCGCCCAATCCCTTTACCCATTTGGGCTTCCAGCTGCGCAAGCCATTCGATGCCCCAGCCAATTTGGCCGCCTTTCGCTATCCGCACTTGTCCGCGCCACCAATGATACCATCCGGCTACTTCAATCAATTCCAGCGGTAAGATAAACAAACAAATACCTATGTTTTTATATCCCTTAATCTGTTCAACTCTAACTATTGGCCATGTTGGAGTTAAGCAATGGTTACTCTTTACTCTTTACACTTTGCACTTACTTTACTTTTCATACTCTTGTATTTTGTCGTCAAATTTGTAATGCATTGAAATAAACCCTTCCGACCCCATAAAGTAAATGTATTGGTGATCAGCCTCACTAGTTAAGTCGATATAGCCATGCCATGATATTTTTCTAATCCCAAATTTGTTTACTTTTACAGTGCTCCGCCGCATATGCTGCCACCGGGCATGGCTTCAATGTACTCGCCCTCGAGTTCTTTTCAATCGCTGCTTGCCAATATGACGGCTGTGCCGCATCCGCGTGCGCCGCCGATGCCCGCAATGGCAGCTAAGCCGCCAATGCTTGTGGGTTCACCGGATCTACATTCACCCAACAATCATTTGCTGGGCTCGCCACCCAACTCACCCAGATCGCAGTCGGCGCCGCAGCCACCAGCGCCGGCACAGCTATCGCCACAGCAGCTAGTTGGTATCTCGCTCACGCATCAGGCGCCGCCGGCCGGCTCGCCGACACAAACGGCACCCGTCGCCTTGACTTTGGCTCACTCCCATGCGCATTCGCCGCAACGGCAACTGGCTCCGCCGCCGCCAACACGGGCCGCCACGCCGCCCGAGGATCGACGAACCTCGTCCATTGCTGCACTGCGACTGAAGGCACGGGAGCATGAACTGAAGCTGGAGCTGCTGCGTCAGAATGGCCACAGCGGCGATGTGGTCAGCTAGCCAAACAGCAATGCCTCCCAATTGGTTAACAGTAGTTCTAAGCTCTTAAGTTATTATTCGAAACGGACCTTGCATTTTATGTATGTAACTGAATTCACAGAATTTCCATTAATAAAACCAACCACAGACGTCAAAGTGTTTGTGATATACACAGAACTAATCCGGGAATATCACCCAGTCTAATTTTTTATACACTTGCACTTGGTTATAGATTACACTTGATTATAGCTATACCTTTATGAACTCAGCTCCTAGTAATAATATCTTGATGAAACTTGATACAGCAACTTATTTCTGTTGCAGGACTGGATCGAACCATTATATCATAAGAAATATCGGTCGAAAGCTTAGCATTTTTATGAAACAATTCTTTTGTAAAAGACATCTTAATTACCTAATTAGTAAATCATATTCTAGATATTGAGTTCCTGAATTTTTTAATTTTTTGAAAATATCTAGACCAAAGATTTTATAACCAACGCATTCCTATATCATATATGAACAATCCCCCAAAGACAAATATAGTTGCATAAATCAGCAAGAGTATTTAATCTTCTCCACACCACTCATTTCTCTTCTTTATGTTTTTTGATTCCAATCGAAATCACGCAATGCCCACAAATTACATTTAAGACGCAGCTTACAAATGGTGGTCCTAATGTGCGTAACAACACCTACTTAGAGCAAGCGCTAACAAAGCCAAAAACTGATTCACAGCCAGTTGCGACGAGCCAGCAGCCAACAAGCTAACATGCCACCGGCCAACAGTTAAGCAGCTAGGCAGATAAACAGCCAGCAGCCAGGTCAGCTGCCATTAATCAGCTGTCGGGGCATAAATCAGCGTTTGGCCAAAAACAAAAACACCAGCCGGGCGGGTGCTACAAATATAAATTTATGAATAAATTAGAAACAAATTAAGTATGTTAATGAGAACCAGCCCCAAACGCAGCAAAGGTACCGAACTCATCTCAAAACGAATCAGAAACAAATGTCGAATAAATGCTGAAACCGCCGCTGCTTAGCGATTTCTCTAGGGAATATTTTTCAATACCCTGTAGCTACATCTCATTCAGGAAATAGAGTAACCTCAAGTCACACAAAATATCAAATACCTTAATGAGATTTTTAAAGATATTTTGAAAAACATTATATAAATTAACAAAAGACTTATGCAACGAACTTCATATTTGTTTTTTCAGTTTTGTTATTTATTTTGGTCATATTTACTTACAGTCACAATTTATACTTGGTAGATGCAAATTTTAGCATCTGAAAATATGTATTGAAAATATTACAATAATCGGATTATAGATATTTTAGATAGTTTAAAATAAAACAAAGCAATATTTCCTGCAGCTTAAATACAGCTTAAACCTTTTAAACATTCTAGGGTATATGTCAGTCGTCCTCATTCGACCATCTACTTATTTAACGTTTTCCTTTTTTAATTTTTGTCTTGAATTATGCGTGGTAATTAATAAAATGGAATATTTATGATAACATTTATAAAACACGAAGCTGCTTAATTCGATTACCAGATTTTGTTTGTGGGTTTCAACTTAAAATGTGAAAGATGCCCTCCAACATTGCATGGTAATTGGCAACATAAGGTGGAACTGTGATAATCATGTTTAACCAGGGTCCACATGGCCTGCGGGCCTGTGCCTGTGCACAATTTTCTCAGATGTGGCAACGCTTCATGCATTCACAATGAGTTCGTCAAATGCAAAACCAACCCATTAATTTGCATCATAATCGAGTCTTAGCTCAAGGGGGCTATTGATGAGATACCAAACACGTACACGCACACACACACATATGCCAACACAGTGGCTGAGAGATGTGATACAAAATATCGGGCAACAACCGATATTAATAATCATTAATTAAGGCGACTAATTAACGCTGACATTAAAAGACTGCATTTTAATTACGATTAAATAAACACACACACATACCCCTCCCCTCTCAGATAATACAACCCGCCTTGCTTCACCTTGCATCTTTGACTTCTGCTTAGCTTTCGTAAACAAAACACACACAATCATTGTTGTTGGTGTGCTTGCCTAGTTTGTTTACATTATTGTTTTTGTTATTGTTGCCGTTTTGCTTCTTCTTTTTCTTAATTTCAGTGCGGGAAACCCAGCTTAACATCTCTATTTGGTGCTGCATTTTATTTGCGCAAGTATTCCATTAAAGTGTTTTTTAATTCAATTTAACTTGAACACAACCTAATTGTTTATCATGAGCAGTGAGCAAAAAAAAAACAACAACAACAATCATTTGAAACGGGCTCTTGTACATTTTTTTGTGAGACAAAATGTGGTTGTTGTTTTTGCTGCTGCTGGGATATGTAATTGCAATGAGTATGTATGTGTGTGTGTGTGTGTATGTGTGTGCATATGTGTGTTTCGTGTGTCGGCGCAATTAACTTTGCGTTTAATTTGCAATTATCCAAACGACTCAAACTAATTAGCGCCAATTTGATTTAACTTTGCAAAATTTAACAATTTTTCTTACCTCAACGAAAAAATACATTAAAAAAACAAAATTGAAAACTACGAGAAAAAAGCCGCAATAATAAAATATTCATGCCACCACCACGAAGGGGAAAATGCTGAATTAAATTACATTGTAAGACGATTCACAAATAGTTCGCGAGTCAACAAGACGGAATAGAAATTTTAATTTGGCTCATAAATATGTGTTCGACTTATGAATATTCGCAGTGGAGCGCTTATCTAACAGATTGCCCAAAAATAGCATATCAATACATATTATCATCATCTTGATCAGCGATTGTGAGAAACTTTGTTAATTTAATAAATTCATTCACAACAAACAAAAGACTTAGGCAACGAACTTGGCCAAACGAAGCATAAGTTAAGCTTAAAATAAAACCAGATGTGGGACTGTTATTATTATTATACACTCATTCAGTTTCACGTCACGCCAAACTTGTCAATTTATCGATCCCAAAAATGTTTAACTAAATTTAACTGACCCACTTTTAACCAATTTTGATTTCATACTTGTAAGAGGTAAATTTCACAGAGAACCATTCATGGAGTTACTGATTATTTTTGAATGGTCTTAATTTTACTTACAGGTTAGTGATTATGCTAAATGTTGATTAATGTACACCCTATAAAAACTCAAATGCATTCATTTTGAACGACAGAAAAAATCAATATATTCCTCAATTGTCAATGACCTTGTGCAAATCAATGCTACATTCGCCGTATGATCATTCTGAAAGTGGAATGCGGTTCGAACTGGCACACTTTCAACGCGCGTTCCACACTCACCTCTGTCTGCGTAATTGACCAAAACTGTGTAAAATGTAAAATGCCTTTCCTTTAGCTCGTCGTCGTTGTTGTGTTTTTCGATTGAAATTATGCAGAGATGTTGGTTGTGCGCAGTGCATAAATTAAATTATCGCTGGTATTGCTGCTGCAGCTGCAGTCGATTCCTTTGGGGACCTATGCGCACAATGTGGAACTTGTCCATCTGTGACTGCTCTGGCTTCTGCTATAGCAGCTCCTGTTCTTGCTGCTGTTGCTGCTTTCGTAATTAACTTGTTGCCATAATTGCTTACTTTTGCATTTGTGTGTTGCATGTCACACGCTGCAACATCATCAAACCAGAGCCATGGCAGGCCTTTGCCCATTGGCGAGTGCTACAAATATTCTGTATTTCTTTATAAGTCATTAAGCACACCTTCTACACTGAGCGAAACACGATGAGATGTACTAGCGAATTTTTTCTCATTATCATTCTTAATTTTTAATTTCTTACTTTTTTTTAAATGTATAGTCATTTAAAAAAATATTTTCAATACATCAACTAACAAATTTAAATAGCTGTTAGTAAAAATTAAAAGTGAGTTTTATCATAGGGGAGACAGAGTAACATAACTATACAGTTTTCCAACAGCTATGTTCATCGACTCTTTTTGAACGCATTTGTTTCAAGTGTATACACTCTTAACTTTATAACTATGCCTTAGCCCCCACACAAACACTGAAACACACACATACACACAGAGCGAGAGAGAGAGTCGCAGACTGACCCTTATAAGCGACAAAACGGTAACGACATGACTTTTATTATGCACACGAGGCAACTTACGGTCGAGGGAGGAGCCGGGGCAGAGAAGGTGCAGCGAGACGGTGAGACAGCCCGACAACGTTGAAGAAACATTTGGCGCCGCAGCAATTAGTTATCAAAGACGTCGCGCATTGACAAGCAAAAGTCAAAGCACTCTTCGAACCACCCAAAAATATATATAAATATAAAATAACAGCTTTCCTGTTTATATACGAATAAATACATATCTATATATATATATATATGTATATATAAGACATTATATAAATGACTCATGACTCGAAGACAAAAGAAAAGGCATTAATAAAGCCTGTAAGTTGGACAACAATTCGCAGCTCCTGAGCTGCGCATGTAAAGTGCTTGGACCCAAGGCGATCCATCAGGCTGGCTGAGCAAATGGTTGCCCAGCGGCGTAAAGGATTCAGGCAACGCCCCAAATCATGCACGCGTGCGCCAGAACGAGATGGAAGCAAATCGTCGTGCAGCAGGGAGGCAGAAACATGATATTAAAACGTAGCCCCAGCTAAACATTGATCCTTATCGACATGTCAGTGAAGTGACGACGACGACGACAGCCGCAACAGCAGCAGTAGTAGCAGTAGTAGCAGCAGTAGTAGCAGTAGTAGCAGCAGCAGCGGTAGTCGCTACAGTAGTAACAGCAGCTATAGTAACCACATCCCTGCTTCTGAGCCAAGTTTGCCGGCTGCAATTGGTAGCCGGAACAGCAGTGGCAACAACTTAACACGAGACACAAACACGTCACGCAACCCAAGCCAAAAGCGTTTCCCACAGATCAATGGTTGTATGAGCACTTGTTCTACATGCCCCTTAGAAGCTACAAACATACAAACATTAGCATGTGTGTGTGTGTGTAGATGTGTGTTTGGATGCGTCCAAGTATTTAATGATTTTATAACTAAAAAAGGAAAAATATTCAAGATTTCAAAATTGGCGTTGCTCATTAATTGAAATAGATTTAAATTATTTTTTTTAAGTGGAAAATATTTTTCAAATTAAAAAAATTAAGTTA